TGACAACCACTTCATTAAATTGCAAATATATAGATGTTGCTGTACTCTCATCAGTGGGCCAGTTTTACTAAATTCAGCAACAGATAGTGACTTAAAAAATTTATTTCAATGAAAATCTTCAAGATTCTAAAAATAGGGGGAAAGAGCTAGCTAGTCACTGCTCATGGCGGGCACTTAACCAGCCATAAAACCTCACACTTCATGTTTTTGTACAGATTAAACATACAAGGCATAACGTAACTTTTCCCTGTTTCCAGTCTTTATGCTAAGCTAAACTAACCTGCTGGTTGTAGCATCAGGCTTTTTCTTTTTAGTTTTAGTAGGTACTGCAGCTGTCCTTCAAAAAGTACATACTGTTGCATGCAGTTTGCACACAATCAGGACATAGTACTTCCTTATTACATTGTGCCCTGACATTTTTTTGTTACTGCTTATTCTGTTAGGGGTCGCAGGGGGGCTGGAGCCTATCCCAGCTGACATTGGGCGAGAGGCTTGGCACACCCTGGACAGATCACCAGACTATCACAGGGCTGACACATAGAGACAGACAACCATTCACACTCACATTCACATCTACGGACAATTTAGAGTCTTTGGACTGTGGGAGGAAGCCGGAGTATCAGTAGAAAACCCACGCTGACACGGGGAGAACATGCAAACTTCACACAGAAGGGCTCCCCCACCTGGGATTGAACCGGAAACCCTCTTGCTGTGAGGCGACAGTGCTAACCACCACACCACCGTGCCGCCCCACTACGTATCAGGGCATACTACATCTTTTTCTGGCACACTATATAGTATGGTAGTGTGGGTATTGGAATGCACAGTAAGACTTGAGAGTGGTTTCAATCATCTAATCACCTGAACATGAAATGATGGTCATGATTGAGCACATTTCTTTTGCTACTTTTATGCACTCACATACAGAAGCTAGGGCGACAGTTTTCACACCAGACCGCTACTTGTTTATGTTAAACACCAAACGAAAACCAAGTATTAGTATCATTTTGTTCCTGGAACCCACAAATTAATACTGGGAAATTTCAAGTAGAAGGCTCAGATAATTATTGTCCATGCTGGCACATGTTCGTCCACATGAGCCTGAGTTTATATTTTAACATTTTGTGTATAATATGTGCTTCTCTCAGACTGGATAGCCTTTCCCGAGGCCAGGGCAAGGTCTCTTATCACAGTTGAATGAGGAGCGTTTGTGAATGGCATTGTGTATTTACACTGTGTGATAGCAGATGTCTGAGACTGAGAGATTTTACATCTTTTTTTTTTTCCCACTGTAGCTGAGAATGTGACAAAAGCTCCTTCTCGCACTTGTGTATGTGTGTGATTGAGTGTGTGTGTGTGTTTGCATTTGCCCTTGTGGATTTTACATTCCCACTGATACAAATGAGTCATAAAAGCATCTGATGGAGATATGTTAAAGGATGAAATAGATGAGAACAATGAAAACAGTGTTCCTCTGATTTGCCCGAAGCTTTTAATTTAAATGACAGACACGGAGTGAAGTTTATTTTACTGCGTAGATGCTGCAGAAAATCCAACAGTGATTGATGATATTTAAATGTGTCTTTGGAGGAAACTGAGCTAAATCTCAGAGACACAGATATAAATATGTACCGATTGTTTTTTGAAATGTAAAGGTTCAACAGCAGCCTGTCCTCCTGACACGGGCCCTGAGCTGAACTGGAGGAATGAGTGATATGCTGAGCGAGGGGAGAGACTCTCTGTCGATGAAGCTATCGGCCCAATAATAGAATGGACATAATTGTCTGGCCTTCTGAGTCATCATTGCTCTCTCCACTGCCAGTGCTCTCCCATCTTGTTTAGACACTGCAGTTAATGGACCTTCTCCTTCTGTCCATCACCTCATCTGTCTCTGCTGCTCTCTTCCTCCTGCCATCCCTCTGTTTTAGTTTTATGGCGCTGGCCCTCGATCTCACCTCTCCATCATGCTCTCTTCACTTCTTTACTGACGTCCGTCTTTACCCCACAAATAACAGATGTCAGACTTGTTTTTAGGTCAGCGCGGTGATAAATACTCGTCTCTAACTTTAAAATATGAATATTACAGTGCGGTTTAAAGTAGGGATGCACCAATTGGGAAATTCTGGGACGATACCGATGTTTAAATTTACTATTTGGCCGATAGCCGATACCAGTGTTTTTATGTTGTTGTTTCTTTTGTTTTTGTGATTATTTATTCCCCCTTATGTGCCAGGGAAACCAAAAAATGTACAACTGAATAATTTTAAAGTCATGAAGCCCTCAATTACACTATCTTTGCATGCACACAAAGTCAGTCAGTGACCTTTCTCATGAAAAACATCTTCAGATGCTTCAAAAGCCTTTTTACTGTATATAACATATCATAATTCCCTCTCTAATATCTGTCATAGTGCTGTGAAAACATCAACAAATTTCTCCTTCAAACAGCTGTATTTATTCAAGTTTCCCACCTAAAACGACATGTTACAAGATTGAATTTAAAAACCTCATGAGAACTTTACAATTCACCTTCGCCTGATTTTTACCAAATAAAGTTTGAATGCATCCTTTTGTAATGCAGTGCAACCTCCTTGAGCTGTTAATTGGCCACCGGCTGCCTAGAGTGAACCTAAACAAGCTCTCCTTCTGCCGATTTCAACACAGATTCATTCTTCACAACATTATCAGGGAAACTATAGGGCAACATACTGATCATGAATTTAATGCGTCCTTTCATCAAAGATCTGTGTTCATCCCAAACATGTTTTACCAGGATGCTATTTGCCAAATATTCAATGTTTTCTTCTTGTACTTGCTCTTTAGTTTAGGTTTGTTGGCACTAGTTTTGAGCCCTGTGTTTAAGCCTGCGCAAAAGTGGTGTGACAACACAAAAACATCAGCCACTTCCATCAGTGAATGTCATTTTATTGCTGATAGGCCGATGGCAGTCAAAAAGACAGATATCGGCCGATACCGATATTCAGCCGATAAATCGGTGCATCCCTAGTTCAAAGGTCTACAATCAAAAAGTTAAATACTACAAATGATTTTATAGATAGATAGATAGATAGATAGATAGATAGATAAGCTATTGTCATTCAAATCCACACTGTCAACAGTGGACATTAAGAATGAAATTTTGTTGCATTTGACTCTGAATAAAGTATGGATAAAACAATACATCATCAGCAAAAGTGCTAGTGCAAGCCAGTGCAGCCACAGCTGTGATATCGACAATATCAAGTTTTTGAACATATATATGGACAATATATGGACATGACCTCAATCATTTTGCTGACAACGATATTGCCTGTTGTGCTTACATGCATGTTTGTTTAGCAAAGACTCGCTAACATTTTGGCCAACATGATGCCAGAATAAACAGCAGGGTTTTCCTGAACATTATGAAACTTGGGTGCAGCGATTTTATTATTTTTTTCTCTATGTCCCTGCCTACTTGCGCAAGTCCAAAGAAAAATAAGACTACACTTCAAAGACGACGCAGTATAGCTTACCGGTAGCTTGCAGCTACACTTTTGCAGTGGAAGAGGGGTAGTTCTGATGGTCGTTAGCTTGCCAACCCTAGGCAATGGGGCAAAAGTCAGTTGTTTGTAGTTTTACTCTCCATAAGCAATTTTATCCTCCACCAAACTGTTCGTCTCCCAGGCAATGCATCCCCAGGAGCCAACTGCAGCACATCACTTTCTCTTGTTTTCGTTGGCCAAATTTTGGATTAAGTCTCAAACTGAGCAAATTTATGCTCCTCATATAAAAGTAGTATAATTTGTATATACCTTCCTGTATTAACAGGTGTTAATTTCTTGGACAATCTGTTGGCTAGCACAAGTAGTTCTCATGACAAGCCTGAATATGTTGTGTAGCTGAATATCTAAAAGGAACACACATGAGTTGATGTGAGGTTTGCAGCTCGATTACAGTCAAGTGTAGTGTATATGTACATAGAAGTGTGTTTACATTAGAGCACATGCCCACTGTGCCATGTACCAGACAAGATTGCCATTTCAAAGCAAGTAAATAGCTGTAAGTTATATGATGCTGCACAGAAACATGACATCTATCGTCCTTTAACTACCATGTTTGTTGACAGACAGACTCTTCACAGCTACCTGCCTGCTTTGCATGCTGTATGCAAAAATATGATCTTATCGCACAGGAGGTGTGATCTGAATGTCTATGATCTGGAGAGCTACTGTACTCTCAGCTGCACAGTGATGCTGATTTATGGAGGCTGTAGACTGTGGTGCTGTTGAATTGTGTTGCCATGCAGCGGCTTATAAAACAGAGACAGGTGAAATGTTCTAATTATCCAGTGAAATATCTAAATTTAATCTTGAGATTGTCAGAACAATTTGTACAGACATTCATGGCTTGCTGATTTTGATGATGCCCTGACCTATTTTTGGTTTGGAGGAGGGCAGCATTTGTTTTCTTGGTTAACATAACGTTACGCCTCACATTTGTAATGACCTAAAACAGCACAAAGAATAATGTTTCCAGCCACTACACTCCAGTCTAACCCAATTTGCAGCTGCTCAGAGATCAGAGTTCGTGCTGCAGGCAAACAACTACTGTAGCGCCACAGCGTATTTTGTTCACAAGTCATAAAAGCAAACGTTGCAGCAGTATTTGCATGGTAAGATTTTTGTTTCTTTGTGTTGGATGTCTGTGCTGATAGGCTGTGAAAATGAGGTTTTTATGTTTCTGTTCATTATGCTCAAAGCTGTGCCAGAGACCTATTGATATTGTAATTCCTTGGCTAATAGAGGTTGATGAAACACCTGACAAATTAACTGTCAGGCATATTCATGCTCAGCTCCAAAGGAGTGAATTGATTCCACAAAAAAAAATCATTTTAAATTTTCTCCATCCCTCTGTCTTACTCCAGGGTTGTCTCAGCCTCGGCCTCCAGAGCAGCGGAGCCCGTGCCTCTCCTCGCCCCCCCACCCCCCCTCCCCTCCCCTCAGACCAGCAGCTTAGCTTAGTGTGGCGAGGCCAGGAACGATGGGCCGGAAGCTGGACCTGTCGGGCCTGACGGACGACGAGGCGGAGCATGTCTTGAAAGTGGTCCAGCGGGACATGAAGCTGCGAAAGAAGGAGGAGGAGAGGCTGAGGTGAGATGGGATTCCCCTGCCGGCACTTTTTCTAGTGTTTTTAACACGTTTAAGGCGACAAACACAGGGTGACTTGAAAGGAGCTGATAAGGAGAGATGACATTCGCCTGTGAGAAAAATGACCAGATATAGTGGTGTACAGCTGGCCCAGCTGACAGACACTTACTACATATTGAGAAAGTCTAGAGTGCAAATCTTCCTTCTACATCCTCATACACCCTGCTGCTGTAGTATAAATAATAAGAGTGAAGCTGTTTTGTATTTGCAAAATAAAAAAACAAGTGAAAAGATGTGAGGAATAGATTCAATTGTGTGTTTAGCTGCTCTAATGTTAGCATCCAGCTAACTAGCTTACTACTCACACCTGCCCTGTTTAGTTCGGTTCAATCGAACTCAAGTTTGTTTGCCCCCTAAGTGCAGTTTGTTTGGGCAGGTGTGAACACCGCAGTCGCACTCAGGTGCGCATCAAAACAACCAGACTGAGACCTTCTTGAAGAGGTGGTCTTGGTCCAGTTACAAATGAACTCTGGTGCAGTTCACATGACACATTGTTTGGGTTAAATATGAGCATGTTACAGTCCTGGAGGATTATTAATGTGCACCTCCTCCTGTACTGCCTTAATATGCACATTCAGCACATCCAATGCATCAAAACATTGTTTTCTAGTTGGAGCCGTGCCTCGTTTTCAAATTGTATGGTTTGACTAAAATGAACAATGACAGCAATATAGTCCACGATGAGCAGCGCTAAAATCAACCTGCATAGTTGTGCCTCCATTGTGACATTAGAAAGTGTCACATTTATCTTGCAAGTGTACTCTTCTTCAACATTTTGTTTACTTCCTGGATTTTTCCCACATGGAAATTCTGACCAATCAAGAGCAGCTGTCTCACGCAAGGTATTTGATCTGGTCCGCTTGTAAATGCTGCCGTGAGAACACGAACCAGCTCTAGGTAATTATACAACTTTGTAACAAAATTAGTCGCTGATTCGGACCAAAGCAAGACAACTCTAGGTCTGAAAGCACCCTAAGTTTAAACTACATATTCATAGCAACAGTAACCAGGAGGTTTGGGTTTGACAAACAGTCAACTGTAGGTTTAAGACAAACTCTGAAAACAGTAAGTCTGCATAGTATAGCCTACTTGTTGGTAAATGTAATCCATTTGTTGTTGAACCAGGGCGGCTTTGTAGAGGATTTATTTCATCCATTTGAAATGATTGATTTGGAGACAAACAATCCTCGAGAGAAGTGTTTATCTTACTTGCCATTCATGTTCATAAGCCCGGCAATTATTACTATTGATATCTTCATACATTTGAAGTCAAAGCTTCAGCAAACACAGAAACACTCCCTGTTCTTCAAGAGTTTATTTTATACTATAGGCTTTGGTTGTTGTCTTTTATAATCCACAATATTCCTTTTATTTATCAGATTGTACTTGAAGTGTGTTGTTGTGACGTCTGATTGATCTGAATGAAAGCATGATTTCTGAACAAAGCTGATAAGTTTTCAGGAGCAGTTATTTCTCCACAGGATTTCCATCTGTAGGGTTATTAAAGCACAGCTGGGTGCTGTAAGGAGGAAGATGCTTGTCTTGTATTTTCTGCTTGCGGGCTGGCAGGTCTGTGGGGGTCACTCAGGCTGGGCCTCAGGGCTCCGCTCCAGTGTCACAGCTTCTTACTTAACATGCGACAAGTGCTGGCCCGTTCTCCTCCTCTCCTTGTCCTTCACTCCCTTCCTCTCCTCCCTGTGACAGCCTGTGAACAGAGGGGATTCGGTTCGGTTGTGACAGGCCTCCACGGGGGTTTGTCTATCAGATGTAGTCACTTCAGTGCGTCTGCTTTGTGTTGTTTCAGCAGGACTACAGGGGGGAAGTTTTAGTTTTAAAACTCCAGTGTGTCTAATGTCACAGCTAAAATCCAAAAATGTGTTTTCTTGCTGTGTTCTAACTGCGGTTGCACCCTATAATTTTGTAAACACAAATATGCTCCTTTGAGTGCCTACCAGGCCTCAGCATCAGCTATTCTGTTGTGGAGATTTGATGTCTTTCTTCAGATTTGAACGGTGATCCTCGGTGGTTTTGTGTTCTTCTGTTTCATATTTTTATTGATGTGTATACAGTACAAGAGTAACAGAGGCACTTACATATATCAGTGTACATTGGTGTGATCATTAAACATGTTTGTATACACCCTTAGATTTAGATTTGTATATTTTTAAGAACAAATAACGGTTGAAAAAAAATGAAAATACTATACAATGAAAAAAGTATTTAGACATAGTCTATATAAAATGATTAAACTGTCCGCATAAACATAACAGATAAAATACATAAATAATAGTAAAAAAGAGAGGGGGGAAAAAAAGAAAAAAAAAGGGGGAGGGAGTGTGTGTGGGGGATTATATTGTCGCAAAGAAGTCTCTACTTTCAAAAATGACATAGTCTCTTTAATCCATTGTGTGCTGGAAGGAGCTGTTGTGGATTTCCAATTCAGAAGGAGGTGGCGTTTAGCAATTACAGAGGTAAAAGCTATTACTTCCAATTCTTTAGTAGAATATAGGGTATAGTCTTCTGGAAGACCAAAAATGCCAATGTGTGGTGAAGAGTGAATAGTCCTTGAGAGTACCTTAGACATGGTGTTAAAGTAAATTTGCCAAAAGTTCGTCAGAGCTGGACAAGAGAAAAACATATGCATAAGATTACAAGGTGATCCTCCGCATCTGTCACAGACATCTACCATATTTGGGAAAATCTGTGCCAACCTTGTTTTTGAATAATGGCATCTAAATACAACTTTAAACTGTATCAAGGTCAAAAGGGCACAAATAGAGGTTTTGTGAATGACTTTCAGTGCGGATTCCCACCAGCATTCATCAAAAACTAATCCCAGCTCAAGCTCCCAAGTCTCCTTTGTGTTGGTGGTTAAATGATCATCATATGACTGGAAAGAACTGTAAACCTTTGAGATTAAAGACCTTTGTGAAGGATTAAATTGTAAGAGTTCACCCCATGGTTGCATAGGTGGAAGGTGAGGGAAGTTGGGAAATAAGGATTTTGCACAGTTCCTCACCTGGAAATATCTAAAAAGATGAGAGGGTGGAAGATTGAATTCAGTAACCAGATCTGCGAAAGAACAAAAGATCCATTCCTTATAGAAATCCTCAAAACATTTCAGTCCCTTATCGTGCCATAAGAAGAAAGTGGAATCAGTAAACGTGGGTTTAAACACAGGATTTTTTAACAATGGGGTTAAAGCTGTGGGAGCAATAAATTTAAACTGTTTCCTAAACTGAAACCATATCTTGAGTGTGGCGGTAACCACAGGGTAGCAGGTAAGGCCAGAGGGGTTAACAGTCATCGGGCCGGTCAATAAAGCAGAAAGAGAGACTGGGGGACATGACTGTGCTTCCAGCTGATACCAAGGTACATCAATTGACTTAGACCAGAGTATGATTTTAGCTATGTTCGCGGCCAAGTAGTAGAATTGAAAATTTGGCAAAGAGAGGCCGCCATAGAACTTACAATTCTGAAGTATTTTTTGTCTAACTCTAGGTATTTTGCCGTTACACAAAAAATGACAAATAATCGAGTCAACTGTTTTAAAAAAACTTTTTGGTAAAAATATAGGCAAACATTGAAAAAGAAATAGAAATTTTGGCAGAACACTCATCTTGACAGTATTTATTCTCCCAATCAATGAGAGAGGAAGGGAACCCCATTTTTGAAAGTCTGCCTTAATCTCGGCTAAAAGGGGAGAGAAATTTTCAGTTTTGAAAGACCCGGCTACGTTAACCCCAAGATACCTAAATCCCAAAGGACTCAGTTTGAAAGGAATGTCTGACTGGGAGAGTTGCATCGCTAGTTTATTGACAGGATAACATTCACTCTTGGCAACATTAACTTTATACCCTGAAAACCGGCCGAATCTACGAAAGAGTGAAACAATAGCGGGACAGGCTCCTACTGGATTTGTGACGTATAGTAACAGGTCATCGGCGTATAACGATAGTTTCAACTCTGTATGAGTCCTGGTGATGCCATTAAAAATGAGAGAGGTCCTCAAATACATAGACAAGGGCTCTATTGTGAGTGCAAACAAGAGAGGAGACAGGGGGCAGCCCTGTCTACAACCCCTATTTAGAAAAAAATAGCCGGATTGAGTGTTACTAGTGGTAATACTGGCACAGGGGAGTGTATAGAGAAGGCGTAACCATGATATAAAACTTTCACCAAATCCGAATTTAGCTAAGACTGCAAATAAATAACTCCATTCAACTATCACTGTATCAATATCACTACTTCGGGTACGGTTGTTGTTCCTTTCGAATAAATTATGTTTAACAAAGTACGAACATTATAATAGAGCTGACGCCCCTTTATAAAGCCAGTCTGTTCCTTAGAAATGATTGTTGGAATGTCCTTTTCAAGTCGTCGGGCCAAGGCCTTTGCAAGAATCTTTGTATCAACGTTCATTAAAGAGATTGGTCTATAGGAGGTACAAGTATCAGCATCTTTGTCCTTTTTTAAAAGAACATTAATAGAGGCTTGTTTCAATGTAGAAGGAAGAGAGCCGAGTGTTAAAGATTCAAGATAAACAGAGTGAAGTAATGGAGTAAGTTTGGCCTGAAAAGCTTTAAAAAATTCGACCGGAAACCCGTCGGGTCCCAGGGCTTTATTATTTTGCATGCTTTGTAAAGCTGAGTTTAATTCTTGAATGGTCAGAGCAGAGTCTAATTGATTAACCAATTCTGGATTTATGGAAGGAAACTGAAGTTCGTCTAAAAACCTGTGCATGTCAGCTGGATGGTTTTGTGTTCTTGAGCGGATGCCACGAGTGATTAGGCTGCTTTACTCAGAGCACTAAACATCTTAGCTGTACTCTGAGGAGCACAGCAGAGTTGCTTCACAAACCAGAAAGCAGCTGTTGGTCTGCGCTGCTTGAAACTCCACTTATTTTCCCAGAATCAGTTTCAAAGCAAAGATGGTGTATTCCC